CTTTCGCACGAGCGTTTGTTTGGTTTTTCAACACCATTTATAACTTTCTTTTAATAAAATCACGATTTGTCAAATGCTTAAATTTATTTATCTAATAATAACGCAGCACACAACCCTGAAATCTTAGAAAAAGTCTGAGGAAGGCAATTAAATAGCAGCACACAACCCCGTGCCTTCCTCAGGAGTGAATATAACTACAACAACAACGACTACTACAACAACAACCCAAAAAGGTTGGTTACTGTCTATACTGTGGTTCGAATCCTACTGAAAGAAGTCTGATGAGGAAATGTGGTGATTTCCGAAATAGCTATCACTTCTACCATTTTTTCAAATTATTGTTGCTTTTCCACAATAAGTTTTCACTGAAAACGGCCTCGAGCTCATAAAAATTGTTGAATATAATTTTATATTTATGACATTTTTGAATAGCATTAATGAGATCATTTCCATTTTCAGTTGTTAAATAGTCAAAGAATTCTATACATTTAATGTTAAAGTTACTTTTAATTAGAAGTTCAGTTTCAAAAATTTTAATTAGAAGCCGGTTTCTCTCTTTGCGCAAGGAAGCAAACCTTATACTTAAGATCCTCTCAGTTGCTTCGCTTTACATATTTTTTCAAACTGTGGAAAAGTATTACTTTGTAAGAACTTCCTCTATATATCCGCATGGAAAGACTAAAAGCCTGTTTATGGCAACTTAACTTAACGGAACGTAGAACTTAGAGAGTCAAAATGAAAGATTACGACGTGGCATTAAGTTACGTTAAGTTTCGGCTTTTCAATTATAAGCAAAACCCATTTAACAGAATTTTCAAGAGAGAGCTGTAAGTTAAGTTAAGTTGCCATAATTAGACCATAAGAATTCGCTAAAAAGAAAAGAAAAGATGCCTCCTGACGTGCCTTGGCGAGGGATCTTCTGCAAGCAGCTGTCTGCTGGGATGGCCACGTCTGTGGCTCCCCACAAGGCATTCTGTTATGATCCTTGACTGGGAGCATCCGGGCCTCGTCATGTAGATGGTGTTGGGGCTTCATCTGGGGGCATCCGTTCGCTGTTCGTAGTGCCGTGTTTTGGTAGGTCTGTAGTTTCATCCACTGCGTCCTGCTAGTCCCCGGCGACCACACGGGCGCAGCATAGGTTAGAACCGGCCGGCCAATTGCCTTGTATGTTGCCAACAAGGTTTCTTTATCTTTGCCCCAAGGGCTGCCGGCCAGCGACTTGAGGACATTGTTGCGGTTCTGTAATTTGTTGACAATTGCGGTTGTATGCGCCGAGAAGGAGAGCAGACTGTCGAAGGTAACTCCGAGGATTTTCAGGTTATTCGCCGTCGGTATTGTTACGCCATCGACGTGAATACCCAGTTGCAGTCTGACCTCCTTCGTCCAGGTGGTGAATAGGGTTGCCGAGGATTTCGCAGGGGATAGGGCAAGGCCCCTTGCAGTGAAGAAGCGAGAAAGTTCGGCGAGATAACCGTTTACTTTCGAGCACAAGACATCAATTCCATCCCCAGACGCCATTATCGGACAGGACCAACGCTACTCTCACAGGCGCGGTTTCGGATAAGGCCACGAGTTATCTGAGTGTTTATGGCGTTAAGTGCTCTAGCTGTGTTGGGAGTAGCAGGGCCTCGAGTGTCTTCGCTATCGGGGAAAGGAGGGTTATCGGGCGATAAGACTCTTCTTTGTTGGCTGGTTTCCCCGGTTTGAGCAGTGGGACCACTCTCCCCATTTTCCAGATCCAGATCCGTTAGGTATGCTACTCCCGCAGTACCCAAATTTTTCAGCATCAACATGCATATTCCGTCGGGTCCAATGGCTTTGGAGGCTTTCGCCTTACCGATGGCTACCCTTACCTCGCCGCTGGTAAAAACAAAAGGCGCACTGGGTTTAGGCATTTTGTGCAGCCTTCTGATCACTCGACGTTTGGCTTTATCCATCGGACGATGCAGAATGAACTACCGGCTAAAATAGCTCGCGCATCGCTCCGGGTCCGACGAAACGTGGACACCAAAGACTATTTCGACTCTGTCGTCACGCTTCGTCGGGTTGGACAACGACCTCACGGTTGACCAAAGCTTGCTCACACCAGAGGCGAAGTTGCGGGTCTTCAAATGCTCTTCCCATTTCTTCCGATTATGTACGTTCACAAGTTACCGAATCTCCGAATTGAGATCCCTGATACGGGGATTTCCGGGATCGGCCTGACGAAGGTTGTCGCGCTCGTCGGCTAGAACAGCCGCTTCAGCAGGAAAGTTCGGACGTGGATCCTTAATACATCCTGCTGGGATGAAGCGAGCTGCAGCAGCAGTGACCACCCTACGGAATTTACGTTCACCTACACGAACGTGGTTGGTATGGGCAGTGCAGTGAAGGCGCCCTCAGTAACATCAGCGAAGCCTTTCCAGTCATCTTTGGAAAAGTTGACATAGGTCCGGTGATCCACGGAAGCAAAGTCGGCAGATTTATCAATCGAGATGTCTATGGGCAGATGGTCTGATGTTAGGGTCAGAATAGGTCGCCATGATACGCTGTTTATCAGACCAGCGCTGACAATTGTTAGATCTGGCGAGCTGCAGCAGCTGCCCATAATCTTGGTGGGTGCGTCGTCGTTCATTGTGTAGAATGTCGAATCGTAAATCTGCTCAGCCAGATGTATTCCCCTACGATCAGGGTTGAACTGCCGTGCAACTTCGTCTCTTGGACCGCAGCTATTAACATTCCATGCTTTCCCATAAAGACAGTTATCTCCTCGATCTTGCTCTGGAGTCCGTTACAGTTAAATTGTAGTACCTTTGTATGCCTTAGGAGAGCAATTGTGATGTGTGGTGTTGAAGAGTTGTGTTGCCTGCTGTACGTGCTGCAAAAGGGGGTGCTGCCTTGTGGTGGTGTTGCGAAGTCCTGAGCGTGCCCTAAGGTGACACTAGCCGAGGGAGGAGTTGCACTTGACTGATGTCACTTTACGGTATTTTCTGGACTGACAAACAGAGCAGATTGTCGGTGGGACTAGGAGTTGCCGGCGGCGGTGTGTGGGTGCTATTGTGTTTGTTTGTGTGTCTATTTTTGTGTTGTGTTGGGGTGACGATGTCACTAAATCCTCATTAGTGACGATGTCACCGGTGACCATTTTCGCTACTGCGAAGTTAGCTGCTACCCAAAGGAGCAAGTAGGGAGCAGTACTACAGCAACGTAAAAAATAAAGTTTTATGTATTTATTTATTTATTTAATCTATTAATCTTATAATTAAATTATAAATTTAAAGTGTAAGTTAGCGCTAGCTGCTGAAAATTTTTTAAATTTCTAACAATACACAGAAATAAATATCATTTTGAGTGATATCATAAAATATTTTCTTTTCAAAAAAAATTAAATTTATGTACAAACATGTTCATACGTATGTACTTATGTAAATCAACGGTAATTCGTAGCCACTTTAAACTTACACTTTATTATAATAAAATTTATTGCGATATATGTAAATACTCAAAAAAATTCTAAGAAATCTAATTAAAAAGTTGAAAATTTGCATGGATATTTATCGAATTTTATCAAGTTTTGCACAAAGTTAAGAAATTATGTTTTTTGTTGTAGAATTAACCCCTTTTTTATAAAAAAATCAGCGGAAAAATATTAGAATACAAATTGTTGCATATATTGTGAAAACTTTGCTATGCCAATACTTTTTTCCGGCAGTGTATTTATTTTCGTACTACATATGTATACCACATTGAAAAAAAAATAAAATTATAGTTTAAAAAACTAAAAACTCGCTACGTAACTTAAGAATGGAAATCGCTGCATATTTTATGCGCATCAATACTACATATGTAGTTACATCCCAAGCTATTAAAAGCGAGGTAACAAACCAAGTTTATAAGCGCCCACCAAGGGCTTCTTTGGGAGCAGGCAAGGGCGCTTCTTTCTAATGACACACAATATTAAAATACAATGAAGGGTGAAATTAGGAAAGGAGCGCTCACTGCTGAATATGGAGCTCTCCAATGTAAATAAAGTAAGATATCGGGACCCGCGGAACAAGTCTGGCGTATTGGTTAGAAGTATGTGCTACCGCAGGAGCTGAGTTCAATCCCTGGAACGAGCAACAAAAAGTCGTTCCCACGACAGTCGGGTCAACGTAACCGGAAGCACCCAGACTTATATTTGGCCAAGGACTGTCACTCCAGCAACACTCCCCTAAAACTCTTTGGGGAACTTGTATGCTGCTACAACCACAACAGCAGCAACAAAAAGTTGTGGGCACGGTTTGATTATTAGTACAATGATTTTAGGTTGTGTCCTAACGCGTGACCCGAATACAAAAATTTTAACCTACTCTATTTTTTAAAGCGCAGCCAACGGAAAGAACGCTGTTCTTCGAAATATACTGTGGTCAGCGGAGGAGTTGGACTGATGAAGGTTATTTTTTCAAAGCGCGGCCGAAGGTCGCCAAGCCGGAAAGGTATTATGCACAAAAATACTGTGGATGGCGTAACCCGAGTTTAAATTTTCTGTGAAAATACTAATTTAACCAAATTTTCAAATAGGTCCCCTGTGTTCCAAACATTTTTACTAACAGCTGTCCCCCTAGGCAGGCAATAGTAAGTCTCCGAGAGCCAGTTTTTCAGTGCCAGTTTAAACTTAGATTAAGTAAACTGAGTTTAAATTGAACAGCTGGCTGACATTTGATTGGCTGATCTTAGTTTAAACCAACCAGATCGGGCGTTTAAACTTACGTTTTACCCACGGCCTTGGCTGCAAAACTGGCCCTGAGTGTTTCTGGGATGAAAACGCTTAACTCTGTCAAATACTTAGCAAAAGTGGAAGCGACAACTACATTTTAGGCATTGTCTGCAGACATTAGATATAGAACTTAAACTTTTACGTTGTACAGGAAATTTTATACATCTGGAGGTTTCGACTTAGTACATAAGTTCACATAAAATACATTACGTGGGCATGCACTATATCTCATTCTTAAACAGCAAGAAATAATCATACTTACACGGGGCGGGCTTTGCTAACGTTTCAGCAGTGTTCTTTGGTAGAATACAAAAAGGATACTTTTCTGCGTCATAGAATATATACAACTCATATTCGTTACATATTTAAAACACAGCAAAATGTTCTTTAAACTATATACAAACGTATATATATGTATGTGCACATGTGCATTCAATGCAAAAGGCGATTGTTTCAAAGATTAATTTTCACAATTTCCTCTACATCGATTTTTCGTGACACTATTTATGGCACGGTTAATCATTTACTGCCATAAAATAATGGCTTTTTAAGTATAGATTCTAGCTTTTACGTGCATTTGAACACTTTTAACTCCATTTTTCACAATCTGTTAATTTTTACAAAAATTAAGAAAAGCACTAGAATCACAATCATCGTGAATATGTGTTTATTCAATGTTCACAATTATGGAAAACGAAAAAAAAGCCAACCAATTTAAGTAAAGTCTAATTAAAGCAGAATGAGATAAATGTCAGACATGGGTAAAATCTAAATACAACTGGCCAGTGCACGGACTCCCACATCATTTTATTAATAGAGCTGGACTTCTAGCTGTTATTTATTTTCAAAATTTGTACCAACATGCCAAAAATCTCCCCATGATTCAATAATACAAGGTTAGATAATTATTGACAGCTGCGGTTTGACACTCCCTTACAAAAGGTTGCATTTACGAAGGACACAGAAAGGGCAAGAATGCAATCCCTTGTTTCGAAAATGGTAGTAGAAAGGTACGCAAAGTAGGCAATTTGTAGTGAAATTCCTTTCGTAAATTCTAATGTATTTGCAGGAAATTTGGCATTTTAAACGAAATGTTGAACGTAATATTGATATATCTACGTGACGTACCTAATTTATATGCTATTTAGCCGCATAAAAACTGCAAAATGACTCAAAATTAAAATAAGACCACTGTGAGATTGATGTAAACATCCAATGCTTAGGTTTTCATCAGTTAAATATGCTTCATATGCATGTACAAATAAACATATTGCACAAAAGCTTATACTTTTATTTCACACCAAAGCTACACTGTTTCCATGTAAATTTGCAAAGAAGCAACACGGTGCCACTGCTAAGGGAGCGGTGCGAGAGAGACAACTGTCAGTATATCGAACCTTGTATTATTGAATCAGGAAATCTCCCAATATTTTCCGAAAAGAATGCAGAGATTTAAATAAATGCAGGTATGTAGGAATGCATATTTTGTAATCGACACACCTAAAATAAAAAACAACTTTTCTCCGACATTATCCAATTTAAAAGAGATATTGCATCTCTATCAGTTGTTTATGTCAATATTTTTCGTTTGAAATACTTCAATCCTTTCAAATCCAATTTTGGTCAAAAAATTTTAAGTGGAGATAATGGTTTGAACCCATTTTTAAATTATTGCAGGGCCTAAATTACAGCATCCATTCGCTCAAGGCCTAATTTGGGTACATAGTACGTTTTTTGGTGAATGTTTTATTGACGTAAAATACATTTTTTTGTTGTTAAAAAAACACAATTATTCCATTGGGAATACATACAAGATTACAAAAACAAAAATAACACCAACTATATGAGTTAATACTGTTACCATGAACCAAAAATACAAGATCACGTATTCTTCTTAGTAGCCCGTTATAATCGCATTTAGGAAAAAAGTTGGGCGACTTTAACATTAGCCGTTTATTTACATTTGTTCGTTGTTTACAATTTGGTGGTGGCTTTTCACTGCAATTTTCTTACTTTTCGCTTGTGACAACGTGTGCACACATAAGGTAAAGAATAATTTAGCACAACGACATGATTTATAGAAGAATTTGAATAATAAAAATTATTATTCATGCGTTCAACAATTGCGCGGTTTTTTTTTGTTATCTTCGTTGTTTACTTCTTACAACAAAGATGGCGTCGAGATTTCAACAGCTAGAAAATAACTTTTTTCTTTCTTTCCTTACGGCGTGATCTTGTGTCTTTCGTTCATGATCATGATGCAATAATAGGAGCGTTCCTTATCTCCCAGAAATAGTCAGAAAAAGTCCGAAGTAGTCAGATTTAGTCCAAAAAGCGTTCCTTAACTCGGAAATGACAGCAAAAATGAGAGAGCAACAGTCAGTGAGAGTGACTCTCATCAGTCCGAAGTAGTCAGATTTAGTCAGTAGAATTTTTTCTGGCAAAATCCTGAAAAGTGTCAAACTCAACTGAATTTAAATTAACGGAAATTAAAGAATACGCTAAAAGTGAGAATAATCTAAAAAGTAAAAGAAATGAATTGAAATTGGAAGGAGGCAAAAAATAATTGATATAGCAAGTGTTTATTGTCCTTGTGCTTGTGTGAATGTATTTTGTACATACATTTCTGTTCTTATTTGACGTTAGTTTTGTTGTTGCCATTCTTTGGACTAAAAATTTGGTTTTTTGCGTTCCTTTACTTTTCCTGTTATTCTCTTTTAGTGAGCGCATTTTGCTTACGCTCTGGCATTTTGACACTTTTCAGATTTTAGTCCAAAAAGATAAGGAATGAACCTAATACAAGGGGGTATCAATTGCTATCGGCCGTCTTCACGTGCTGGAAAATCTCGCTTGCGTGACGACGCATGTTTTTTGTTCTAATTTTATTACTAAGGAGTCTAATAAATGAATGGCTTTTAGCTCTAGAAGAATAAATGTCAGTAAAGACAAGTATTTTTTGTATAATTTCTGATTTTAGTTGCTCAACTTCTTTTGCACCAGAGCAACTATCAAAAATTTCCAGCAGTAAAAAGTTACGAATTGGCACAGCAGAAATGTAAAATTTTCTCGCCATAATAAAAAGTTTTTTTAGCATGGAACTTTTCTACCAATTGACATGGAATTACTATCTCAACGCTCGGAGCGCTGCCACTGAGGAGGGCCTTTGCCAACTGATAAAAAAGAGAAAATTTTTAAAACCAAACAAAAATTTTTACATTTCTTTTTGTGAATACGAATGCCATAGTTTTTACCTAGCTCGTGGGACTACGCAAAATTTTGACAGCTTGTAAAGAGTCAAAGTCAAAATGGAGAAAAGAACAAAAAGCATATGTTAGTTGTCAGTTACAAAATACATCCAATTTATTTGCGAATATTTGTTTCTCCTTTTTATTGAAAGGTAACCACGCCGAAAAGCTTGTGTTAATTATATTGATAACAGAACCTGGCAGCTCGCACGTTGTCTAAATTCTCAAGTAACATAAGGTGCGTTCGTTTAAAATCTCCAGCAGAAACCAACCAACTGCCAAATTCCGGCGAAATGTCATCTGTTCGCTCACAAGAGAGAAATATCCAAAATAGTACGCGAACAGAAAATTTGCAGAAACTGGCAAGTTAGACGAACAGCTGATATAATTTTTGTTTACATTCAAAAGTGTAAAATTTAAAACGTACGAAAAGTTATCACAAAGTGTTATACTGACACAGTTTATTGATTAAACAAATAACTACTTATTTCTTACAAGTTTAATTAGTCGCATTATGTAATTTTTAACTTCCAAACCATTAAATTCGATTTTGTGATTTGCGTAAATGCCAACCAGCTGTTTTTGATCAGCTGTTTTCCTGTTGGCAAATTGCTGTTGGCAAAAATTTTTCCAGCAGAAACCAGCAGCTTCCCCTCAAAATGAAATGTCACTTTGCTCTCTCAATTTCCCCTACTTTGCAAGTTTGTTGCGTACGCGAACGCAAAAACTTGTAAGTTTTGGTTAAACATGAACAATTAACAGCTACGCGAACGAACCTATAAAATCCACAAAAGAATACATTGCTTCTATTACCATCAATACGCCATGTATAAATTTTAACAACACACAAAAAAAGAGCTTTCGCACGAGCGTTTGTTTGGTTTTTCAACACCATTTATAATTTTCTTTTTTATTAAAAATCACGATTTGTCAAATGCTTAAATTTATTTATCTAATAATAATACAGCACACAACCCTGAAATCTAAGAAAAAGTCTGAGGAAGGCCATTAAATAGCAGCACACAACCCCGTGCCTTCCTCAGGAGTGAATATAACTACAACAACAACCCAAAAAGGTTGGTTACTGTCTACACCATGATAAAAAATAGAAAGGTAGAACCGATGAGAGTAATTTTTCAAATTCTTGACGTTTGCAAACAATTTAATTTTGAAATTTTACAAACAAACTCACACACACATTCTTATTTTCAATCTCAAACAACAACAACTTCGAACAATTCCTTTTTTTACTCTCAATTTTATATAATTATAAATGTTGGCAAACTTAAAAAAAAATCATGGCCGACGAATTGAGAGAACGGTTTTACCTTGTTATGTTTTTTTATCATGGTCTATACTGTCTAAAGCCCTGTATGCAGCTCTCAAGAAAACGGTCAAGAAAAAATTGCCATTATTTCGCGTGTGTGTCCAAGGAATTTTGACATTTATGATACCTCACAGCCTGTTGCCTCACTCTTTCCTCAAGAAATAATGGAACGGGCATATATTTCTGTTGCAAGCCTGGGTTGCCTTGTGCTCTTTTTTCACAAAAAACTTTTGAAAACCGTAGTAGAAAGCGTAGTAAATTTCTTAAGAAGGTACAGCTTTAAGCTTAGTATCCAGCTCTTAAGAAAACGGTCAAGAAAAATTGCCATTATTTCGCGTGTGTGTCCAAGGAATTTTGACATTTTTTATACCTCACAGCCTGTTGCCTCACTCTTTCCTCAAGAAATAATGGAGCGGGCATATATTTCTGTTGCAAACCTGGGTTGCCTTGTGCTCTTTTTTCACAAAAAACTTTAGAAAACCGTAGTAGAAAGCGTACTAAATTTCTGAAGAACTGCGTACTGCCTTAAGGAAATTTGACTCAAGAAAATTTCTTAGCCATTTCTTGTACGTTATTTGTTATTATGGAGTTTTTGCTTTTCTTGAGAGCTGCATACAGGCCTTATACTGGGATTTTATGAACGCGCCAGCGACATCATGAATTTGTATGAGTTTGACATAAAAGAAGAGGAAGAACCTTATCTGCCGCTGGCTAAATAAATATAGATCTAAGCTGGCCACAACCACAGTCGTCGCGTAGCTCGGTCGTCGCCAAAATAATTATCTACATAAGAATACGCATAGTTGCCAACTTGGTGCTTTAAGCACTAGATTTAGTGCTTTTTGAAAATTAAAACACCAAAAAATATTATTTAGTGTGTAGTGCCTTTTTAGTGTTTTTTTTTC